GACACTTAGAATAATTTGGCAGGAAGTCAGTCTGTATTTATATCTGTTCAAGTTCCATAGATTTAAGTGTGCTAAAATGCCTGTAACTCTATAAGGTAATAATTATATGCACATAATATATCTGATTGCAATAACACATTTAAATTAATATAAAACAAATATATTGGGAGGTAATGATCTTTAGTATGAAATATTCACTAGTGAATTAGCTTTTATTGATTATAAGCTTTTCCAATACTCTTTAAATAGATTTTAATAGTGGAATAGCATTCTATCTTAAATTATGGTCTTTTTCATATTCTACAATCAAGTTAACTAGTACAAGTCTACGGTCGTTAAAAGAAAAATATTAAGTACAAGCCTCTGTCATGCATTTTCTTTCCTCCTTGTATAAGTTAATGTCTTGTTACAATTCTGTACAAGCTATCTTTGCACACAAATGCAGGAAGTGGAAGTGTAATTTTTCCTGATTACTACAAATGGTTCAAACTAAGATTATATTGTAGTTCAGATATTTCATTTCTGTGGTTTTCATAAACCACAATTCTTGAAACTTAACATAATCCAAAGATTCAGTTTGGTCAAAATAACTGGATAACTTAAACTCCCCTTCCTTCACACATGAAAGTTAGGATTCATATTTACTTTTTCATTGCATTTTTATGTATTTCTCAAAGCTGTCCAGATATACATACCTTGCCAGGTTCAAAATCTTAAAAATGCAAGACACGGAGAAGATCTGGAGAAATGCAGAGGAATTTATCCACAGCCCAGGATTTTCTTCCTGTTCCTGTCCCTTCACCTGATCAATTGACCATTACCATAGATCTATCAGCAAGAATACTAATCATGCTGCCTACAGCTGCTCTTCTAGAGTGATTGCCATGAAGTTCATCCTGAAAAGCAACTTTGCAATAGCTTCCAGTTCCTACAGCTGCCCATCAACAAGCTCCTTTGAAAAATGAGTGCCTTGGTCTTCATCTCTAGGAGACCAATTCCTAATTTATTATACACAACTTCAGCATCCTTAAAGATACATCAAATGGCACTTGGTCAATGATGTAAAATATGCTTTTAAATATTAACAAAAATAAAAAGTGAATTCATGATCATTATAAAAAGTGATAGGTTCCATAATGGATAGCAAAATAATGTTACCTGTTATATGCTTAAATATTTCACTAGTATTGATGATGTTACCTAATTGGGTAATGAAACGTCTGCAAGAAAACAAACAAGCTCAGAGAGCACCAAGGACCCCTCGTTTCAACCCTGAACTACAAATATTCTATTTTATTGGTACATGGTAACCAACATATATTTATGATGGTTGCAGAGTCCTGGGATTATATTGTGCAACCTTCCTGGGGAACTTCAAACAAACAAAGTCAATGGGGGAAGTCAGATTTGTTTAATGACTGCATGAGTCACTTAACAACCTGTAGTAATCTGCTTAACGAAAATGGCAAAAAGTTATAAAATAGGGCATGACTTGTTTAACAAATGTCTTGCTTAGTGACATTATGGACTCAATTGTGGTTTTAAGTCAACGGCTTCTGTGGGAACTATGATTCTTTGTTCTTTGTGTACGTGCTAGGACAACGGAGCCTTCTGGTAGTTGGCTGGAACACGAAGCAAGGAGCAAAGACAAATTGTTGCCATTTCTTAACCAGAACTGTAGCAAACTTAAACTCTGCAGCCTTGTATGCTCTATGCGAATGATCAGTGCATGTTGTGTGATGTAATGCGTTTGTGATAGGACGTTAACAAAATTGCTACGTTAACAAAGATTGCTTCTAATAAAAGAGGGTTTCAGAGTTCTCTCTGCGCTCTCATCCCAAGACAACTTTGCGAAGTGTCTTTTTTTCATGAGAGACCACCACAGGCTTCCTGTATTTATTTCCATAATCTGAAAATATCAGGTCATGACATCTTTCAAAAAATATAATTAATAGTGAATTAGATGAGAGTATTTTATTGTTCGTTACTGTGTTTTTTTAACTGACTTGTGTTCAACTAGCTGAATTCAACATTCAGTTGTGTTCAACTGCCATCTAGTGTTAAAATTAAACAATGACTCTTAAAAAACTGGAAAAAATACACAAATATTTACAGTATAACATTGACTATTTCCAATTTAAAATTCATTGCTGATTTAAAAAATTACTCCATTTTAATCATTATTCATATATATATCTATCATATTCAATTTTAAAAATATTTGCTATCTTTATTATATATTCATCTTCTGCTTTTCCTCCAAGAGACCAAGGAATCTACAAAGTATTTTTTTTCTCCCTTACAGCAGCAATAGACAAGTCATTAAGAAGACAACACAAAGTACATGTTCACACATATTTGGATATGAGCCTGAAGTTTGAATTAACCGGGGCATACTAAACAGGCCTAATCCCCTTGAACTACTACTATTATTGTTACCAGTATCTTGAAAATGTCACTCATTCTCATCTGAGTGCAAGGCAATAGTGACATCTCTATTCCAAATACTAGATGACTTATTTGCCCTCCCTAACATTCCACAGTGCTTTTATCATTGAAAATCTACAAATCTTGAGTGAAATACACTTACATAGTGGAAAATACTTATCTGCTCTGGGTTCTGGCATGGGATGGGAGGGAAAGGGCAGAAGCATAGAGTATTTGGCATTATTCAAAGTTGCCATCCAGCTGCTCCTGCCTTTGGGATTCATTGAAGGATTTTAGTCCATTTACACCCTTGGGCAGGGGAGATTCACTTATTCATGTATTGCAAGTATTCCTAAAATGCACAGTCCAAACTAATTCCTGTTGTTAATATATAGTAAAACAAAATTCATAGACAATTGATTATAAAAACTGGAAGACTCCAGCATATTTACCTGCCGATATATAAATCCCAAATGCTGGTTAGCAACATTTACCATATAACGGGGCACTAGTCATACAGTATCTTTGGGGTACAACAGAGAAGGAATGTCTGGTGATCCATGCAACCTTGTACTTTTAGTATCTCTCTCTGATTCCAGCTGGAACTGCATATTCCTAAAATTTCCTGAAGTCCAATTTTGCAATTTTCTAGCTTCCCTATAATCTTAGTTTTTTTAAATAGCTTTGTAAATCTTAAAACAACACCAAATAGTAGTGGTTCCCTGAAGAGTGCCAAATAAATGTGAGGATGATAACTAATCATTCAGTGACAGTTTTAGAGTTGGATGTAACAATCATGCTATAAAAATATAAAACTTTTTCAGCCACAATTATACTATCAAAATAATGGATGAGGACCAAAATTTAAAATGAATTATAAGATATGAAAAGAGTGAAAATATTTTTCACATATACTATGTGAAAATTAGTGTATGTTGTAAGAAAAGTTACTGTTTGCTTAATTAAAAATGTCTTGGTGTCATTATTGCAAAATTGGTGCAAACTTAAAACTGAAAATGGACAAAAGGGCCATAATGTAAGTCTAACTTGGTGATGGTTGACCAAGTCTTTCCCTTTTTTTTTCAAGATAGGGCTATTTGCCCTTCTGTAAGTGTGGTTACACCTGACCTTCATGAATTTTCAAATATCTTGGAAAGGGGCTTCAAGGTAATATCCATATTTTTCTTCAAGATTTCAATATATATTCATGATATCCAGGCATTCCTATCATACCATTTACTAGGTCTCACCCTTACTTTTAAAAAGCAGCCAAGCTCGGTTGAGGTGATTGAGCATCCAACACTTATATGTGAAATAAATAAGGGAATAAACAGAAAAGGGGGGGAGGGGGGGAGGGAGAATATAATGGAGCAAAAAGAGGTGGCAAGCTAGAAGTCATGTTTTGCATAGCACTAACCCACTCTACAAGTTTAGCTTTATTCTGGAAAGCTGTTTGAAAAACACACCTTTGGCAAGGGAAGTGCTAACACTTTTTCCAGCACTTCGCCATCAATTTTCTAAGGTTAAGTATTAGGTAGAAAGTTAGTTTTAACATTTTAATAAGAGTGGCTCCTTTTGTAGTTTATGAAACCATGTTTCTCCTTTGACTCAAAGCCATTTTCTTTGAGGTGAAAAATTTAGCCCTTTCAGGGACCCTCAAACAAGAAGTGTTACAAGTTACAAGAAACAAATATGAATAGAAACCAATGCAACGTATTTTAAGGGCATATGTTTTTTCTCATGATGTCTGATCAGTTGCTTTATTTGTTCCTGGCACATCAATTCTATTAAATGGATGTTTCATTTGTTTCTGTATCCTGCCAGCTGCCTGAAAGTTCGGTAGTTCGGGTGTCACAAGGTTGACTTTGGCTTCCATCCTTCCGAAGTGGTTAAAACAAGGACCCAGATGGTTGGAGGGCAGTAGGCCCTCTTTAAACCTCTTGACTATAAAAGCACTGTGAAGCGGTATACAAGTCTAAGCGCTATTGCTATCCTATAGGGGTACAGAAAGGGGGAAAAGGCTTGACCCCCTTAATCAAGGGTCTTCAAATTTAAGACTTGTAGACTTCAACTCCCAGAATTCCGGAGTTAACATGACTGGAGGAGGAATTCTGGGAGTTGAAGTCCACAAGTCTTCAAGCTTAAAGTTTGAAGACACTTTGCCCTTAATAAAAAGCCTTCCCTTCGCCGGAAGTATTTGGGGTTCGTACAGGAACGGCGGGGAGACGAAAAAAAAATCTTCACCAAGGTATAAAATATTTCTTAAATTCAGGAACTAGGTTCTTTCCTGCTCCACTCGAACACGGGTGTTTCTCTTCCCACACAGAAACCTCCCTTTTCGACTTGCTCGCAAGCCGAAGGACTCCCTAACCATTCCCTTACTTAACGCCCAACGGTTTCGGTTTCAAAATATCAAACGGGAAGCCCCGCCCTCTCCCGTCGTTCCGTTACACCAGACGAGCCGGTTCGTTCGCTATTGTATCTCCGCCCCCTCCCCAGACCGTACACCAATCAGAAAGCGGCGATGTCAGCCTACTTTTCTGCCACTCGTCTTTCTTTTTCTCTCTCTTCCTCCCCACCACTCCCATCCCCGTTTATGATACCGCGATAACAAGTTGCTGGGAATGAAAAGCGTTGGGTTTGCTTAATGGCGGTAATAAGGTAAAAGAGGAGGATGTTGAGATTGAAAAGCTGCTCCTAACTGTGGCAGGGTCATAATAAAGGTAGTTTCATCACCTAAATTTGTAATTCGCAGAAATGTACGTCTGGCTCCTGGTTTTTTGTTCTCCTGTTACCCTCCCCCCCCCCACCCTCCGTCCTGGAATAGTACGGTCCTATTTCCCCTCTTGGTGGATAGGAACCCCCGATTTCCTGAACGGGGGTCTCCCGCGCGCGTCTTCTAAAAAATACTTCCATTTCTCCCTCCCCCACCCTTTATTGAGTTGGACGCTCCCGAACTGTCGGGAGATCCGACCGTTCTATTTGGAGTGTTCCGAGTTTTGCGGGGGGGGGGGGGGGGGGGATTTTTTTTTTTTTTTTTTTTAAAGCAGGCTGACAAGCCAGCGTGGCTGTTTTTCGGGAGCTCGGTGGCAAATGGTGGCAAATGGAATTGTACTCTGCGATCCCAGTTTATTTCGTACAAAGGAACGCTTGGACTAACTGGATATACTTTTGGCTCCACTTGCCCTCCGCGCCTTTTCCTTCCTTAGCACCAGACCATCATGAAGAGATTTAAGAGCCAAGAGATTTGGGAAACGTGTGAAGGGGATGCAAGGTCGCAGCATCCCTTAAACCGCTCTTCCCAATGGTCTTTCCAACGAGCAGCGTCCCGCAAAGTGACTCGGGCTGGAGTCAGACGATTTGCCAAAGTTGCAGTTTGTTGAACGATCTAACAAGCTGCAGTTAGCAATAGCACTTAAGTAAAATTGAAAGTATGATGAAAATATGATAAAGGAAAATGCATAATAAAAATATTTTTTTTAAAAAAAGCAATAGCACTTAGACTTATATACTACTTTTACAGTGCTTTTATAGCCCTTTCTAATCTGTTTACAGAGTCAGATGTTGCCCCCAACAATCTGGCTCCTCATTTTACCCATCTTGGAAGGATGGAAGGCTGCGTCCACCTTGAGCTGGTGAGATTCAAACTGCCAAGTTAGCAGTAAACTATAGTTTATCACATCTGATGCCCCCCCAATGACTGGCTTCACCCAGCTTGCTGGGTTGGCAGGAATCGAATGGGCTATTACAGGGCAATGAAACACTTGTAGGGGTTTACTGTAGTGGATTGGATTTTGGGCTAAACCAGACCAAGCCTACATCATAGCTTGGTACACATCTAATTACTTGGCTGTTTGTGTTCCTGACCAACCCCTTGAATTTTAGGACTTAGGATCACAGCTGAACCCAACATTCTGTTGCAAAGCAAGACGGTTACTAAATGAGTTTTGCCCCATTTTACTACCTTTCCTGTCACAGTACTCAAGTGAATCGCTGCCGTTGTTAAGTCAGTCATATCATTGTTAAGTGAATCTGGCTCCCCCATCGACTTTGCTTGTCAGAAGGTCGCAAACGGGCCTGGGACACTGCAATTGTCATAAATAGAGGCCAGTTGCCAAACCTCTGAATTTTGTTCATGTGACTATGGGGATGCTGCAATAGTCATAAGTGTGAAAAACAGTTATAAGTCACTTTTTCCAATGCCTTTGTAACTTCAAACGATCACTAAACAAAAAATTGTAAACCAAGGACTACCTGTATAAGTAACCTGTAGCCTTTCCATAGACAATTCTTGTTTATCAGGGCAATTTCGTGCTAAGCCATAGTTTAAATATTTTTATGAACCAGCCACAGTTAGTTGGATTCATGAAATGCTCTAAACCAGTTTGCAGACAACAATGGCTGACTTAATATAACAGCAAGCTGCTTAAACTAAGCTAGCGTGATCTGTGAACTCAAACATAGAATGAGAAGAGACTTGAAAAACTAAATCAGTCAGAAATTGTTACTGATGAAATGTCTATTGAAACTCCCAAAATGAGTGAGCCTTAAAGCAGGTTCCATTCCTAAATTAGAATGCAGAGGATAGGATCAGTAAAGGCTTTGTTCTACCTAAGTGTTGTGGCCTGACAGCTTGAGGAGGTTGGGGAGGCGCATGGGCCAGTCCTGGAGTCTGGGGAAGGCTCTGACGAATGCACTGTGTCAGAGCAGAAATTGGGCCAGGGCTGACTGACAGCTATCAGCTGCCTTTGGAGTCCGACATCAGTGAGGCAGAAGAACAGCTAGAGCCTGTTCCCAGTGTGCGCATGTGCAGAGTTGCCAGACGAAGGGAACAGCTGAGGAACAAGGGCCAACTTGGGAGTAAAGTCACAGGTGGATGGTGAATGGCCCCTCCCCTAGAGTATAAAAGAGGAGCGAAAGGGGAGTGGGGCTTTGCAGGAAACAATTAGTTCATTCCAGCATGCTTGCCAAATATTGCAGTGTCTGAGAGATATAGGCCTGGCCCCTCTCCAAGCCTGATAAAGGTTTGTAATTAGGAACTATTGTGAAAGACTGTTGGCCGGGACTTTGTTGGAGAGGAAATTCATTGTAAATCAAATAAAAGGGATTTATCGGGACAAAGATTCAGCTTCATGCTGTTGGGGGAAGCCTAGGTCAGAACACTAAGCATATCTTAAAGCTTCCTATACTGCTTCAGGTTTCAATGCCTTCCACGCCATCCTATCTTAAGTGCAGTGAATCATGTGCATGGTATTTGGATGGGCACACTCATGTCCATAGTAAGTTAAATTGACTTTAATTCAGACATGCAGCCAAGCGATGTTCTCATGTCTCCTTCAATGTACCCAAAATAAAACCCAAAAGTAGTAATATACTGTTATTATAAAGCCTCAATTTAACAGGCTATTTGCGGAGAAATGATTCCATTACATGGCATAAATCAGTACAAATAACATAAAAATGCCTATTGCAGTGTTATGCAAATGATGTAGATTGACACGAGTGTGAGATATTACTGCTTACAGATTTTTTTAAAAACTGACCTTTCCGTTATTTCAGCAATGACATCCACGTTCTCTGATCTGGCCCCATTGCATCATAAGCCCTTTAAATAGAGTTTGTTCAATCAAAGGTTCTCTGCATGTGTAGCTTTTTCAAGTTCTATAAATAACCTGCACAGAGCTTGCTCTCCAGAATAGATGAATCCCAAGACTAATTATACTTCAAAAAGACTTTTGTATTAGCAAAGAGTTATTCAACAACAACAACACACAAAAAAAGAATCTGAATCTTTAGGCATCTGAACATTTTTCCTTATATCAGAAAGTTAAAGGCAGGTGTTAGCACTTGTTATGATGAAGGTGGGAAGTCATGCTTTTATATATTTCTTTTTTTTTCTTTACTATATTTTCTTCCATTTTTCCTTTTCTGTGTGTGTTCTTTATTTTTCAATCTTTTCTTAGTTGTATTAATTATTAATTACAATATTTAATAAAATTACTATTAAAAAGATGCTTGGATGCTTTTTTATTTTATTGGACAATTAAAAACTGACCAAAGCTAAAAAAAATTGCAGAAGTAAGAAATAAAATAAACCAAGTACAAAAATAAAAGTAAGTAAGAATAGAGAAGAAATGTTTACAGATGAATGCAGTATTAATATTTTGTCTTAAATATTATTAAGATGTACTCTTATGCTGTTAATATTGTTAAAAGATTTCATCTTTTTTACAGCAAAGTGTTCCCATCACTAATTCAACATTTATAGTTAGGATTATTTCTTAATAAATGTTATAAAATGTATGTGTCTATGTCTGAAGGATCTTTATTTTACCTTTTTTTCTTTCATAGTTGAAATTATTAATATCAAATATGGCATCCTATTTGGCGCAAGAAATTCAACTTGCTAAGCAGCATGAAGAAATGTAAGTAGTTTCTGAAAATGTCCTATTTTTAGATGTTAGAAAAATACAGTGAAATAGATTATGAATGCTTAGGAATTTGCAGGACCATTTCCAAAACTATGAATTGATTTATCAAAGTCAGAGCAACTGTGTGATTGTTCAAAATACAAGATAACCATCTCTTAGAGAAATAACAAATTTTAATAACAGAAAAAACTTTTGTTAAGTGCCATGTTTTGCCTCTAGGGGGAGCTGTCCACCAGTGCTGCTTTTCAAATAAATCATAATATGAAGTCCTCTTTCAACCTTGAATTTTCAGATTGAATCTTAGCTATAGCTTAATGATCTGATACGCCTTTTCTAAATTCAGTATAATGTCCCATTTCACTGCATTTCTCTCCATGTTGCAGCTAGCACTTAAAATTCTAATCAGATTACTAAAACACTTTTTAGTGAAACACTAATTTCACTTTTAAAAGTGAAATTTTAGAGTTACTGCAATATCCTAACTTTGTTTTAAACATCTCGATTTTCTTGTTCAAACGTTAATGGCAGAATTTTGATCTGTAGCCCATAGTCAATCTATTTTAGCTTCTTGCTTCCATAATTTACAATCCGTATGAAACGTGCTGACTGGATTAGAAGAAAATAGTTGCATCCTATGATAATTTCTCAGTAGCTGATAGCATAACATACTACCTGTATATGTGTACAAATAAGAATGTTATTGGCAACTTTACTCTCAGACCCTATGAACCCTACCTTGACATTTTAACAGGGATTGCACAGCAGCAAATTTTTCACTGAACCATAAAACCATAAAACCAGAACCTCTTTCTGGTCAGTTGTTGTGCATGCATTCCCTATCCTAGCCACTATATTCTGCATGTAGGTTAAATTTCTAGCACCAGTACACACATTTTCATACTATCCTAGGATGAAATTCAAGTTGCCATTTTGTTCCATTCCCTCAGATTGAGAAGATCTTTTTGGGGATCTCTGTATATAACAATTTGATCTCATTCACAGATGTGATCCCTCACTACTCAGAGCTGATGCCAGATCATTTGTGGAGAGATTAAATACATTGCCCCCCTTTATATCCTATGTAAAATCTGTGGTACTAGGTCCACCTAGAGCTCCTCCTGTGCACTCCTAATCTTTCATTCTGGTAGAGGAAAAATTATTAAATATATGGAAGTAATTAGAATAGATTTATAAGGGCAAATATTCCATCTCCAGTTGCTTCTGTGGTTGAAAATAAAAGTTATTCATTCTTGGGGTAAGGCTTTTGAAAAGTTCTAAAATTGTAGTAAAATCTATTGAAATTTTTCTTCTCAGAAAGGAAGTAATAGAGCTAGTGTAACACTGCCATCTAAATTGGTGAAGGTTTAAAAATGAAATAATGACATAATTTAAGTCTACTGAAATAATACAGAAAATAATAGGGTGACAATTTGACGTAATCTCTGAATAGTTTATATAGAAATCTGAATGTAGCTAGTATTTCTTTAGCTTTAGTTGAATGGATATGTTTTATGCAGGGAATATAGTCCGATAGTGGAACATCTACTGCATGCATTATTTTCTAGATACAATTTGAGATTTCACCATTTTTATGGAGATGATACAATGGATAGTAGCAAAGATTCGTCCCTAAGATTGTAGTCATTTGCCACACGGCAATTATTACAGAAAAGGGAAAAACAGCTTGTGTACAAATCTATGCACATACTGAGTCCAAGTTCATAATATTTCTGCCAAAATAAGCAAAAAACAGTGTCCCCCCCCCCTTTATTATTGGTTTAACATATCCCAATATTCATTGCACAGAGAATTGACCCAGCAAACTAAAAAATTGATGTAAGTCTTGTTTTCCTTGACTTTGGCATTAATCTATTAAGAGTTTCTCTTTGTTGTTTCTCTTGTATATTTGATGCTAATGTAGTTTTCTTTATCTCTCTGAGAGCTATTCTTCCAACTCCCTTGTGAAGAAAATCTCCCCTCATGTAAGGTTAAAAGGCTGCCCGATCCACTTTTTACACCCTCTGTTTACAATTTTCATTTGCGTATATGGTGTATATACAGAATCCCATTTCTCTGCAAACTGTACTGTATTGCTTCCTCCCAGGAGAGTTTTCTTGAAATTACTGAATACTTTTTCCCAAAAGCCTTTAAAAAAATAAATCTATGCAGAGAATAAAATAGAGCCTCATTTCTGTAGGAAAGGTTTGGAAAGATTGCTTTTGAGAGGAAGAAACTATTTTCAGTGAACCTGGATTGTGAGAGAAAACACAGGACTCTTTTTAAAAAAGATTGTGCAGAGGGATGTATAAGTAGGACGAGAAACGTGACAGCTTTTTTTCTGAACACAGGATCTCTTACGGTAAATTTGCAGAATTAACCCTAGTAACAGAATGCAGCTAACTCATAACTAGTGCTCTAGATGGCTAATTGTGCCTTGCAGGCGCATCTTGTTTGAGGTGTTCTGTGCCGGTTGTCTCATTTATGCACAGAGACTGCTTGTTGTACAACACGATGGTTACTTTCTCCCTGGGAGCACAGCACGAAAGGGACTTCATGTGCTTTCCCCCTCTTTTTTTGTTCTCCCACGCTGCATTCAACATAATTAGAAGAAAAATTAAGTGAGGGTAAAAGGTGGTTGTTTTTCTGGTTGTTGTGCGGGGCAGGGCGGGGGGGGGGGAAATGCCTGCCCACTTATCATAATGTTTCCCTTTTGTAGACTCTCTCGGAGATTGGTGTTGCTTCAGCAGATGGAGAGTCATCTAAGAGACAAAGACGCTGAGCAGGCATGGCACACGCAAGAAGCCGATGCAGCTCATAAAAGAAATGTGTCACTTTTAAATGTAAGCTTTCCTGGCTTTGAAGCGGTAACTTTGCTGCAAAATATAACTATACCACTTCCTGATGAACGCTGAAATAGTGACTAACGTTTTTAATTTCATCCAGCCAAAAACGGAGACGCGTAATCCTGCAACATGTCAACCATATACATTTCTAACCAAAATAAAAAGACTAGAGGTTTCTAGGGCCATGAGAATCTGCTTTCTCTGAATCAGAATTCTGGTTCATCACACGCAAGAGTGACTGTTCTTGAAAAGCTTTCTCCCATTATTTTGATGGTTATCCTTAATTTTCTTGTTATGTAGTACCTAGGAATATGCTGGTCTGAACTCAGAACTATCATCTTAGCTGCTCTGGGTAATCATAACCGCAGTGTGTTCATTCAATCATAGACAAATCCCCACAAAAATGCTCATTAAGAAGCATATTTCACAAATGGTCTCTTAAATTGCCCTGTAAAGTGATTGAACAAGGCAATATAAAGTATTTCCCTCTGCTTTCAGCTATATGTTTGAATTGACCAGAACTTGACATACTTGCTAAAAGTATTGTTCCTAAAACAGTGTGCGGGCTGTTCTTAGAATTACTGAATTGCCATCATTTTTTTTATCAAGAGGTCAACTAAGTCTTTGTTGCATTATTATTGCTATCTGTTAAATCTAATGCCTGCATTGTTAGCACCTTAATTAAAGCAACAACTTTCTCTCTGCTCTTTCATTAGCTCCCGAATCCATGTATTTAGCATTCAGTTTAAAGCAATTGTCCTTGTTGTTCTAACAACATACCCCCACACACACACATTGTTTACCCAGTTTTTTCAGTTTGCATACATTCATCTTTACCTTCAATGCTCTGGTTTTGACCTTTCTTCCTCTCTCAACTCTAACAAGATTCCTTGTGATTTTGTTATGCAGTTCCCCTTCTCAACCATGCAACAACCTCTTGCTTTTCTGAGAGGAAGCCTTTTTGTCCTTGTTGCTCCTTGAACCTAATTCCATCTGGATTTCTTATTTTTAATTTATTTAATTGTGCCAAGCCAATCAACAGAAGAAAAATACAAATGTATACAGTAGTGTTAAAAAAGTCATATATAATTTAAAAGTACTAATTAACAAGGGTTTTTTTGAGGGGCAGATGGGGGGGGGGGAAGAGCCTACTTATTCAAATGTTGATAAATAGTACATATTATTTGCTGCATATCAGATGCAGATTTATCCTTCCATTATTGCATAATAATTCTATTAACCAATTCCCACATCAAGAAAATCCACAAAAATGTAATATGTGTTGTCTAATTTTTTATGTGCTATTTCTTTTATTGTAACTTCTTTGATTGTTATGACCCATCGAGTCATTATTTCTCTTACGCCAAGTGTAGCGGTTGATTTTACGATAGTCATAATTTTATACCAAAATTAAGTGTTTCAAATTTTCTTTAGAGAAAAGGAGGGAATTTTCTTCCTCGCGGTTAGCAGAAGTTCATTCATTTATACACAAGAAAGTAAAAGAGATATACTTGTGGTATTAATGGGATAGGAACTAAGCCTATTTGATGCATCTATTGCATACAGGACTATCTGTTTCCCACTATGGAGAATAAAACCAACTACTTGGGAGACATAAGTTCATTCTAGTTGATATTTGCTAATTTGACATATTAAGAAAATAATATAGCATGGCTGATGAATTATATTGACCATGAACATATACATATATTTTTTAAGTTCCAGATTCCCTCCATAACCAAATCTATAAATATAATGGGGCCCTATCTATTTTGTGATTTGCAGTCCCACAAAACTATTAAGTTTGACTCCTAGCCATTAAAGATTATCACCACAATATCTTGAGAATTTTAAAGTGTTTTGCTTTATCCAAGCATTAAAAATATTTTTAATAATTATTAAATCATTAAAGCACTTTAAAAGCCTAAGGCAAGTATTTGCAAAACTTCCTATTCCTTCCCTGAAGTGAGTGAATGTGTGTGCGTGTGTGTAATTGGTATAGTACATTAAGTTTTCCTTTGGAAAATTAACTTCTGAAAAACTACCAAACTATCCTCAGAATGACTAAATAACAGCAATAAAAATAGCAATGAAAGTTATATATTGCCCCATAGTGCTTTACATGACTCTATGGCCAGTTTACAATATCAGCATATTGCCCCTAACAATCTGGGTCCTCATTTTACCAAGGATGGAAGGCTGAGTCAACCTTCAGCCGATCAGGATCAAACTCCAGGCAGTGGGGAGAGTTTGGCTGCAGTACTGCATCCTAACCAATGTGCCACTAGGGCTAATCCTATGTCTGAAAAAGAAGCAGAAATCGTTAGAAACAGAACTGCAAATGTTCAGGTTCTGGAATAGCAAGTTTTTATTTCTAGGAATCTAGAATAAAACGGCTAAGGGAAAGTATAATGCCATTCTTAGCTTCTTTAAAAGAAGCTTTAAAACACTTTAAAATTCTCAAGATATTGTGGTGATAATCTTTAATGGCTAGGAGTCAAACTTAATAGTTTTGTGGGACTGCAAATCACAAAATAGATAGGGCCCCTTTTTTGCCCGTTGGTAATTACTATAATGTGCAGCTCTTAACAGACTTATTGCCATTATATTTTAGTCTACAGTACTGAGGCAAATCACCCTACATTTCTACACTCCACTCTTCAAATATAAAGCAATAGTTAAGTGCTTCTACAGGCCTTCCAGAGAAAGTACAGTGGGCTCCTTATATCGCTTTCACACTTGTTCACCCATGCCAGTAAAGGCTATCTCCGTAAATTTTATGACCAAACATTTTTCTAGGAGCAAGCCAAGTCATAAGAAATCTCATCATTCCTTCTTTTTCTTCTGGCTCAAAGTCAGCAAGTTCTACTGTCTCTAAGGAAACCATTTCCAAATGGGTGATTACTGACTTGGTTGAGCATAAACACACTGATCCTTTTGGATAGGAAGGGTTTTTCTTGTTTTATGGCAGGTTAATCTTTTTATTCCTCAAGCAAGATGCTTCCTTGTCAACTGCCTTATCGTCTGTCATGCACTCATGAATCACTGTGTTCTTGCTCTAACTTTTAGAGCAGCGTCTTTGATTTTGCAAGAAAATTCTTCCCCATCTGGTTTTAAAACATGGACGTATGCGCTTTATCTCTCTCAGTGTTATTTTTTGTTTCAATTATGCCTTAATTTTCATGTTGTCTTTCCATTGGAGGTTCCATGGTGTTGCTTGTATGGTGGCAGTTATCGTTATTTAATTGTTCTAGAGATATCCCTGGGGCAGTATGGCTTTGAAGACTAAAGATGTGTTACTTTTTCCTTTGGAAAAAAAATGGGAAATTGCTTCCCTTTAATTGATTTGTTCCAAACATGTTGTGACAGATCACCCACTCACCCACTCTGCTCTTTTTGGAGCTGAGGGTTCTTTCTATAACCGTGTGCATATTTCAGTAGAGTGCTTTTGAGGTTATTTCTGGCTGGATCAGAAAGGAAAATTTGCACATAGTGGGACTCAGAGTTCTTCACAGGAACTGGGATTTGGCTACATTTGCCAGAATGAGCAGTTTAAAGCTTGGAGAAATTTCAGTGTGATCTTTAAAAAGAAATAATTGCAAAGAAGGAAGAAATGGTGACCATCATTTTCTTCATCATTTGTCAAGTTATAGCAAAGCTGGGGGGGAAATGACCTTGTTGCTAGCTAATTAATGGAGACCAGTGGTTCATTGATACATACATAACTTACTGTAAATTCTTACATTCCGATTAAGTCCTGCATTGCTTCTATCTTACTGAGGAGAATGGAGAGCCTATGGGAGAAAAATTCAAGTTTTATTAGACTATTTCTGCCATTGTATTGAAGTGTTCTGAATAATGTGCCTGAATATCAGAACTATCAGAAAATTCTTGAAAGAAACAGAAGACCATAAAAACAAATTGCCTAGCAGGGAAGAACAGCATTACTGATTTTAGATGTATTTGTTCTATTCTGGTTTTAACAGACAGGCAGCACTGCAGATGCTTTCTGATAACAAAATAAAACAGGAATGAGATCTACACAGAACACTATATTAGAACCTTGAAAATAAGGTTCAGATTTTTGTGCCAACTTTAGAAAATTGTTCCCAATAACAGGCATTGTACATTTCACAGTTACCATGTGGAGAGTTGTTGATTTGGCTTTCTTGGAAAAACACCGATGCCGTGATGAGGTGTCATTGTATTTGCCTATATTTAAATTAAATTGAGTAAAATCATTTCAGTTTTGCTTCAGAGCTATAAAAAGAGTTGTTATTTGCTCTCTCAGTTGTAATTAAAACGCACTTCCAAAACAGAAAAAATGGCTGAAATGCCAATTCAAGGCATCTTGTTGTTTGGTTTTATTAAGCAAAGGGTAATATTAAAATTAGAATGAGTTGATTCTTTGAAATTCACAGTTATTTTGGCAGCGGTACTACGTTTACTTACTTTGGAGCAAGCAGCACTGACTCCAGTGAGTTCTGTTTTTGAGTAATGTTGAAGCATTTAATCCAACTTTTTCTTTGTAAGATTTCTAGAAAGGGTTACTATTGGAATATGATAAAAATTATTGACACATTCTTTTTAAATATTTTATATCCCCTCTACTCTTTTTATTAAAACTAATAATCTCCTACTCTACAACCCACCATTCATTGTCATGCACAATGATAAAAAATAATGATTTAGTCATTTTCATAACACATATACTCTCTAAACTGGGTACATGTAGAATCAAAACAATTAAGTTTCATAACACTTATATTGTTATAGAAATTAAAACTCTTTACGATTATTAAAAAGAAGATCAAGACAAGCAACATGATTGAAGAAACTGGCTCTATGCAGGAAAAGTCATACATTATCAACTGCAGATTTACATGTTAAAGTTCTTATTAAGTTGTACCTTTTTAAGACTAACTTTATTTAAATATCATAACCCCTGATACATTTTGTGCATCACTTCCTATAATTTGCATATTTTCCCAGAAAAA